TTCCACATAGCTTCTGCTTTTCCTATTATGTGTACATATATAATGCAGCAATTGCTTGCTAAAAAGTGTCCATCAAGTCTTTTTTTTTTTCAAAAAGGAATTGAATGGATGAACAGCCACATTGCTTGAAAAGTAATTTAATATTTTGTCTCTTTGCAATTTGATTTTTGTTTGCTAGTTTTCTGATTGTCCCGATATTGGTTCAAGAATTTTGAACTCTTAACTAGTATTAAAACTGGAGTAACAACACAGCATTATTTACATAAGCTATTTCCATATGGTTTAGCATTTATTAAATTAATGGTCTGCTGGGTCTTGGCTACGTTGTTGCACAAAGGGTGTATTTCAGGGTAGAGAATAATCCACAATATTTGAATATGAATGCAAGGTTGTGAACTGTGGAAAAATACATGCAAAACTATAGTAGATGCAATAACTTCTCTTTTTTTAATGACCCATTTTCTTTTCTTTTACCTATTTGTTTTATCAACCAGTTATCACTGAAATACAAGTTCTTTGTACAGATTAAGCTACTACAGTATACACAGTGTGTATATGGCAAACACACAAAACTATCATAAATCTTGTTCTTCTTAGTCTCTCTATTACTGAGTCATGTTGCAATCTAAAGGACTCATTTCACTGCTTCTGGCTTGTTCTGTCTTCATCCATCTTGATATAGGGATCAGCCAGATCCAAGAAAGTCGTGATATCAAAATGCTTGATGTCTTCCAAATAGCAAAATAGTCTTCTTTTTTTTCTTTGTTTTTTTCTTTTTTTTCTTGGAATCTCTGGGCATTGGTAGAGATGCCCAGGGACCTGAGGAGACACCTCCTTTTTCTCTGTATTTTTTCGCAGTTCTGTCTGATATTCATCTGATGGATAAACAGAGCCTTTAATAGCATTTGTTTTAAGGATACCTATTTTGCATACTGTGAGCTGGTGAGATCCTTTTAGGAGCATAGAAGAGTCACACTGGCTCAGCTGAAAAGTCTAGATAGCACAGTACGTTGCATATGATATTTTTACTTAAAAGAATATCAAAAGCAGGGCAAGTATGTAACTTATGATATATTCTGTGATATCAGGATCATTCCTTTTTGGGTACCCTACCTTTTATTTATCAGTGTTGAACTTCATCTCTCCATTTAATGGGGTCTGTACACAGATCTTCAAACATAGATTAACACAAACCTACTATCTCAGTTGCTTAATATTTTCCATACTGTCTTTTCCTCATCATTTGAAAAGAGACGGTAAGAGGCAGATTTATGCATGTGTTCCTATGGAGCTCTGGTAATGACATCTCTCCATTGGAAAAACTGACCGCTTCTTCCAACTCTTGTCTCCTATCTTTTAACCAGGTCTATATCCAGGTGAAGTCCCACAACAGATGAATCTCTCTAAGAACCACTTTTGCTGAGGAACGGTGACAAATGTCTGTCAAGGAAATCCAAGTCTGTGACTTTGAGGGTGTTTTTTGGCTATAAGCTCATTGCTCTCCTCCCTCCCTTCCCAAGGTAAGATCACAGATCATCCTTACATTATATATACATATTTGTCACAGGGCACACTAATCAGTGAAGTACCCTGTCTGCTTGGGTGCATCAACTCTGACATGCAATGTAGTGGCATGTTTCACCCACCCATAAAACTTGAATTTCAATCAAGTTAATCTTATCCATCCAATGCTGTTCAGTGTTATTCTTAAGAATGTTTCTCCACTGCTTGTCTTTCTTAAAATGATTTTTGTAGTCTGCTTGAGTTCTGTCTTTTTCCGTGGCTCTCTATTAGCTGTTCATTCTGGAGCTCAATAACTGCTCTGCTAGGGATATTCATAAAGTACATGTTCATAGCAAAACACAAAGCTTGCAGTGTTCTTCAGCTCCTTTTCTTCATTGCTCCTTGGTAAGTGTGTTAGCACCTTCCTTAAGAGTCCATGCATGGCTTGCCTGCCCTTTATGTTTCACTATCTAATCTGCTGCATGAGTAAATCAGCTTAGGTATTACTGATATGAAAAAGTGTTTTTTTTTTCTTTTTTTTTCTCTCCATGGCTTGTTTCCAAGCACAACATTATGTTCTTGCACGTTGTTAATGGAAGAGTATTCTAAAAACGTAAATTACACCCTTATTTTTTTCCCAGGAGATCAGGATGTCTTGCTGGCAGTGAATTCAGATTGTCTCTCCCTTATAGGCATTTCTGGTAGTATCAGTGTTTACTTCAAATTTCACAGAAAGATGATCTGAAAATGCTGAAATGCATTGAACTGGAAGGGATCACTTAATGCTTGGGTGTGGAAGGGATCACTTTACATGTAACTTAAGACAATGAACATAGATGATGCAGGTTTTCATTTTTTTTTTAGATGAAATCACAGAATTGGAGAACAGTTGAGGTAGGCAGGCACCTCTGGAGATCATCTAGGGCAACCCCCCTTCTCAGAACAGGGCCTACTAGGGCAAGTTATTCAGAACTACATCAGGCTGGGTTTTGAGTATCTCCAAGAATGGATATTCCACAACCTTCCTGGGCTACGTTTCCAGTGTCCAGCCACCTTCAAAGTGAATAAGAAACCGAAAAATATCAGACAGCCTTAAAGAAGAGATTTTTCTAGCCAGTTTAGATGCCTAAAGCTGTGCACTTGGGGTCTCCCTTTAAGAGACTTTGTTGACTCTACAGAGATCTTAGGAGCTTTACCTCTTATTTATTTATTTATTTATTTTCCCCACAAGGTCTTTTTTTACGAGTCTGGCTGAAACCACATCTACCTTGTTGTTCCCCTTGTTGGCCAAGGGGCAACTAAAGGACAGAAATCTCTGACTGAGCCCACAGTGTTAGTGCAGCCCTCTCCACAACGTGAGGTTGTGGGAAGCAGAGCTCTCCCTGCTGCAGTGGAGCAGGTCCTCAATAATAGCAACACTTTTGAGTATTTCCCTGTGTTCTGTCTGTGCATCTGCTAAGTGCTCCTGAGAGGAATATTTGCAAAGCCAAAATCAACTTTTATCATGGGAGAGGAATTTTGTCACCTCTGCTGACACTGTTAGAAATCTGCTTGGACTCTGCTTTCTCCAAGTCCTTTATTTCTCTCTCCATTTTGGGTGGGCATAGCCACATGAAAAAAAAAAAGTGATATGAGAGAAACACTCTGATGAGACTGGAAGGGGAATAATTATAGATCTTGTTCCATGATATATCTTGTACAGAGCAAATAGCCTATGCATAATGAAATACTATGAAAATACAATTTTTGTAGAGTGTGCTGATGCTTCCTACTGTGTGAGTCAACTGAAAATCTCCTGATCTTTCTGCTGTATTTTGTTTTCAGGCTGTGCAGCAAAGATACTGAACAAAATGCCATCTTGGGGTACTGCAGCTCTTTGCTGCTTATTTCTACTTGTTGCAGAAAGGTGCTATACGTCACAGGACTTGGACTTCGACCCATTCATCCAATATGAAGTGAGTATCTTTCTCAGCATCCCTGGTTTTTACTTGATTTCTGCTTATAATGACCATGCTGCCATAATTCTCTTATACATGAACAAAATCTTAAAGGATGTCAGTATAAGATCAGGTAGTGAGACTGAGGTGCTAAAATTTTCCCCAAAGGTATAAATGGATAAACCAAGATAAGCCAAGAATTGAGCTCTTCTTCCCACTTTCCAAAGACAACTGAGCAAAATTTCTGTTTCCTCATCATGTTAATTTGCAAGGGTTTTTAATTGCTCTTCCCTGAGTTAAGCCTAGCTAAGTTATGTGGACAGCGCTCCTGAATGGGATTCACCATCCTATGACAAAGACCCAGAACAGGACAAATGAATCTTGCTTAGAAGTGGGGGGGGTTGATACAACCAGTGCAGGTATGGAGATGCTTACATGAAGGTGACAGGAATCTCACTGATGTCTTGAACACACGAGGATAAAACACTGCTCCTGACTGACCTTGTTTTTGAGATGCTGAGGTTGGACCCAGACTTGACTCCAGTTTCCTACTTTTCCAATAATCTTTCTGTGATAATGATTCATACCAGTATTCTGTATAATGGAAATCCGTTTGTGTTCAGTGCTGTAAATGGGTTTGATAGAAGACAATTTCTACACAAAAAGTCCTAACTAGAAAGGATGAAAGAGGAACAAAAGAACTGACTGGCTCAATATAATTTCATAGTCTATTAAAGAAAGTTAGTCTACAAATCTACCATTTTCTAGTCTATCACAGTTATTAGACCAGAAAATGCTTCTGCATTATAAATCCTTTCAAGTCAAAATGGTCCCCACTGCATCTGTGTTCAGGCTCTAGCAATGCAGGACCCCTAAGTCCCCTCAACTTAACAGAAGACAACTGCAAAAATAAAACATTTGTAAGCTGCATTCCTTCCCTACTGTGGTTCATGGCATCCTGCTACAGTTGTGTCAGCACATCTGGGTGGACAATGAGCTTCTTTTAGTCAGGCTGAAAACAGTCAAGGAGAAGCGATGAGGAAGATGGGAACTCCTCACATTGTGATTCCACCCTCCTTGGCAAACTAAGACTGGTTCCTGCAGCACAGTCTGTCCTACTGTGGATGGTTAATAGGGACCAAGTATCTTGTTTGTTCTGGGTTTTCAAAGTGCTTCCAACTCAGCACTTAGGCATTTTCATGAAAAAGACAATCACTTATTTCCTAGCATCACTGAGCCATGATACACCCTACAAATGAGTCATTACTTACTGGTGTGAATATGGTGTTAGGTATTTAACAACATAAAAACACTCTGCAGTTGCTTGGGAGGACAACTAGAAGAGGAAATCACCCAGACCAAACCTGGAGGAAGAAGTAGATCACAGAGGGCTTTTTATTTTTAACAATTATTTCAGCTGACCTCTGAGGAAGGTGAAAAGTAGCACCCCTGGCCATCCAAAAATGCCAACACTCCTTGGGATTTCCACTGCCAGAACAACTGTGATATGAAGTCCAACTGTAATCGCACACCAGATGGTTCCTTTATGTAAAGAGATGACTTATGAGTTGCCAAGCTATTCACCCTTTCTGTAAATAAAGATTTCAGTAGGGTTGAAGAAACTGGCAAAGCTTCAAATTCCTGCCTGTGTCTGCTTGTTCTTTAGCCTTTATTTCTAACAATGGTGCCAGTTTGTTTTTAGTGTATTTCTAAAAAATAAGATGGTCTGCATCTCATTTGGCCGCATCTTACATGAACCCACTCACTCTGTGCCACCACTGCCACCAATCCCACATAATCCTGTGCTAGTAGTGGCCCAGAAAATAGTTATTTGTCCTAACGTCTGAGCTGGAGCCAAGGCATTTCAATCCTCTTCCCACTCCTCCTGCATCTGGTTTTGCTGCTTTGGAGCTGGAATTTCAGGGAAAAGAGGACAGCAAAGGGCAACATGAGTTCTCTGAGTGGAACTGAGTGGAGAAGACTGAGCAGAACTCATTTCCCCCAGATACCACAAGCAATATCTTATCTCAGGAAGAACTACACCAGGGCAGCACCATAGGGATCCCACACAGATCTTCCCAAATGGGGTGCAAAGGGGACAGAGTGGAGAGAAGGGGCAGATGCACCCAGAGTGGTTTGCAAAGGTGCCAGAGGGCTCTCCCTGCCCAGGCAGCTCTGTGGGCAGTTTGTGGCTTAGCTGCAGAGTTCCTACTAAGCTCCAGCATTTCAGCTTGTGCAGATATGCAAAGAGGCAGATGCAAGCTCAGTACACTCCTTAGCTGCTGCTTAACATATCCCCACTTGGAAGATATAAATATTCTATTTAAAGAGGATGAGTGGGAGGAGAAGAGTAGAGGGAGCATTCTTATTTATGCCTGTATTTTCTTCACTGTTTCTGTCATGATAGCAAGACTAAAACTTTCTTTTGCCTTCTCCGCCAGATTGACAGTACCCTAGAAGAGGAACATTTCCACTCGGAGTGGGAAAGGCAGAAGCGAAATGGTATGTGCACAAATGGATGGTATCAGAACAGATTCTAGCAAACCTTGGATGAAATGACTACCGGGGACAGCATATCTCCAGCAGATTGTCATCAAAAAGGGGGAGGTAATAGTGGATTGTCATCAGAAAAGGGGAGTAAATAAAGGCAGAGACTACAGCGGTGGAAACATTTAGCAGGTCAGAGATTGAAATATATAAGCAGAGCTTTCTCTGCAAGATGAAATACATGGTGCAGAAAAAAAGGATTTTTGGCAAGACAAATTCACATGATAATCCCATATGGCTCCAGTCTACAGCGGACAACCTATCTGTTTGCTGAGTTGAAGGTGAGAGGGATGAGGCAGCTTTTCTCTGCATATTACCACTTATATCAATTCCCTATTGGTCTGAGTCCAAAGAAATCTTTTTTGTTTTGTTTCGTTGTCGTTTTGTTTTGTTTCTGTCAAAGAAGCAACAGATAGGACACATGTGCGGAACATCTACTGATTAGGAAATGGGAAGCAGAATATCACATTCAGCTAACACTAAACAGCAACAAAGAGCTCAAATGTTGACCTGCAAGGTATCAGCTTATGATTTACTCTAACACATAGTTTTGCAGTCTCATCCAATTTCTTTTTCAGTGATTACTTTTGACCTGCCTGCTCTGGAGTATACCATTGACATTGAAGTAAGCCTTAACGATTCATCCTTTCTGGAGCCAGTGAAAGAGTATTTCAGGAACCTTAGTCTTCCAGTTACAGCAAATGTTTCAAATGTAGAGGTGACGGTTTCAAGCATCAATGTTACAACAGGTGAGTTGGTTGTTTTTCTTGCATTCTGGTAAACATGCTTGTTTGTCAGCATTTGATCTCTCCCATCTTTATCACCCACCACACTTAGATGTCAGCAAAACTGAGCTGTCTCTGCCGCCTACTGAAAGGCTCGGGACCAAAGCTTCAGCACACAGCATAGCATCAGGCTGTGTCATCTGCATCCCTGCTGCTTCTTTTTAAATAACATTGGCCTTAGGAGCAGCCTTGAGTTCTTTTTTTAAACTACGAAACAGAGTGTGAGAGATGCTAAGCCAAAGGATTTTGCTCCAGTTTGAATAACTAATAGTCTGAGCTACTTTAAAGTTTCAGGAATCTGTAACAGCAATTATCAGACTGTTCACTGCCCTCAGACTTGCATTTGGAATGTAAATTACTATAAGAGGTTCTACTCTGTCCTCAACAAGGACATGCATCATGGGATGCCATCTTTTCCTGATGGAACTCTCTTAACTTATTCTTACAAGCCAAGATATTGGACATATTTTATTATCCAAGCTGTCATTTTGCAACATCATATCCACATAATTAAAAAAAAATCATAGGGTACATATAAACACACCAAGTATTTACAACAGTAGAGGAGTGGATGTTTTGTGCTTTCTTATCAGTGGACTGAGACCAGTGAAAGGAAATGTCTATCAGTTCTCAAAACAACATGCAAACTGCTACTTTAAGGGCCTTCAGGATCACATGCAATGTGAAAAAAAATGTTTTGTTAATATTTTATTCTGCTTCCTTGACAGTTAAATTTATTTGAGGAGCCAATAGCATATCAAGAACAGAAAAACTTACAGTGAAAAGGAGTTTATGATTAGAGAATGTTTGTTTTCAAAGAACTTCCTGAGAATGTTGCCTTATCTCATGCAACACTCAGATGCCAATACATAATCATCACACAAGATATCAAGATACAGAATGACACAGCATCTCACCAGCCATCAAGACCACAAATACTTTTGAAGGCTGTTATTACAAACTTAAAAAGCATATATGATGTTTGCTTTTAGTCCAGGCAATAGATTAAATATCCAGCCTTGAAACTATCATATGGTGTTGGCCAATATGCAAGGGAAATTTTTAGGATCAAGCTTCACATTTTCATTCATGTAACATTTAAAGGTAATTGATCAGACATATCCTTGCACAAGTCTATTTGGTTAGTGTTTCATGATTAGTACGGTAAGATTTGCAAGGCATCAGATCATCATGCTTGCATCAACTAACTCAACACACAAGAAAGGCAATAGTTACTTAAAATCACTGGCACAAAAATACAGCAAGGTAAATATATATAATGCAATATGTTATGCCGCATTTGGCATTCTCATATGTTTCTCTTTCTGTCTTATGCTAGTTTGTCATCCCACTGGGGAGAACAAGAGCTGTTGCTCCTGCGAAAGCGGATACGCTTGGCCCAGATCAGTTTGTGGTGACTTGATAACTTGCCCTGCTGCCAGTCTAGCACCCACACAGTCCTGCAGCTACATGAAGCAACTGCCTTTCTACGGGCCTTACTGTGAGCCTCTGACAGAAGGTAAGGAGAAACAGTGCTGAATAGCATCAGTGTAGAACCTACATGCTTGTTAGAAGAAATAACGTGCAAAGTCTGCAGAGATGCTCTGGAGCTCTTATTTCACATTGTGATGTGAGCCCACCTTGAGCCAGGTACTAGAAATACCTAATGTCCATGCTGGAGTCCCACCTCACTCACTTCCATGAGACTTTCAGCTTCTGCTAAGCAAAGCAAGATTTGTGTCCTCAAACTTTCAATAGAGGAACTTAAAAATGTGACCTAATTGTGTCTTAATTCTTACAACAGACGGAACAAAACAAACAACCTTATCTTTTGTTTATTTCCTGACTCTCATCCCAGGCTGCCCATGATTTTTTAGGAATTTGGCTAGTAACTGGGCATTTAGGCTTGCCAGTGCTGAGCATCCACTGCACAGACCTGTTGTCTCTTCAGTCCAAGGCAAACCCCATACTCCATTGCATGGTGTGGCCATGTCCTTAAATGGCTCCAGCTCAGAAAATTCTCATAGTTTTCTAAGCATTTTGCCTTCTGTTGTGCTCATTGATAAGTCTTGACTCAAAATTTCAGTGAAATCACTGAGGATTTTTTCATTCATTTCAATGGAACATAGTCTGGTCCTATAAAGGAGATTTGTCCCATCTAATTTTAGCCATGTGGAAGCTGATCATCTGGTCAGTCAGCTAAACCCTCTACAACTGGAAATCTTTAGTGACAATTCAACCATTTTAGGAAAGCTGTCTACCACCTTCTGAATGTATCACATTCTGGAAGTATCTACAGCTTTGCATCAACTAAAGGAGCACAGACATCTAGCAGACACCAGATCTCTCAGATAAAGGCAGTTGGGAGAATCCTGTCATACACTTGAATCGGAGCGAGTTGTAAGATTTGGGCTTGAATAGAAAGTGGATTATGTTAGAACAAAAAGCCAAGAAATGACTCTGAAATTATCATTTTTAATTATACATTCATTTTTATTCTTTCTTTACAGACTCTTGTGGTATGGAAGAACCCCTTGTAATAAATATTTCAGTCAAACTCGACACAGGCTTTTCAAATGATCTCATGGATTCTTCTTCTGAATTATACAAAAAATACAAGGCTGACCTTGAAAAAGCGGTAAAGATTTTTTTCCCATTCCCAAAGGCACCTACTCACCTCAGAAATATGGAATTTATCCTAAGTATCAGTGTCTTATCTGAAAAATAGTGTGTCCTGTCTGTGTCCCAGTGGGGAGCTGTGAAGCAAGTAGCAGTGGCAGCTATGAAGAGGGCCAAAACTAGTCTGCGCTGGAAGACATTAACATCATTCCCATTCATTTTAATATGCCAATAGTCAGGGAAGTATTTAGGAATATTTTATATAAAAAAGCATTAAAATTTTCACTATATTGGTCCCAGTTTAAGTCCCCATGCAAGCAATATGAATATAGAATGAGACTATCAGGACAAATTTATCCCAATGAAAGGCAGAAGGCCTATTATACCAGCATTTATATGCTACATACTTTTAATTATGTCCATGTTGAATTCTATTCAATTCTAGATTTCAATTTTAGAATTCTATTCTATTCTTCTTATTTTAAGCAGCTTGGAGTAAGATATAGAGGACTCATGCCATATAATATATCTTTTTTGCAGTTTAATGAGAGCTACACATGTTTACCAGGCTTTGTATCAGCAACAGTAACCAGTTTCAGGTAAGGAAGCAATTTCTTTCTTCAGGAATAGGCATCTTTTTGTCCTGTCTTCTGAATGAGACTCAGTTAGATCAACAAAAACTATATTCACTGTGTTTAGAACTGTACTGTTACATACCCAATGAATAGTAGTACAACAGAAGCAAAGGAAAACACAGATATTAGCATGAAAATGTGTTAGAAGTTACTGCTGTGCAGAAGTTCATGTAACATAATAACTCTTCAGCTGGATCAAAGACTTTCATGGGCTTTCTGAAAAGGGCAAATTCCATCCAAAAGACAAAAGGGTACAAATTATAGGAATATCTCCCAGGCCATCAGGAAGATGAATTAGTAAATGGGCTCTGGATGTAACACTGGATATCGATACAAGAGACATTACTTAAGTTGACATACATTTAAATACAGCTGCAATTTAGGATTTCTAAGGGAAGTTTACTAGAAGTAGGCATTCAGGCCAAGGAGATGGCCCTTATGAGTGTCCTGACTTGGAGTAAAGAAGTAGCACAAACTTCTTGCACACCACAGCAAGTCTTATGTCACAGGAGGAGCCTTCATGGGCTCACATATTCCTAGTCATGCAAGACGAGTCACCACAATAAATAAATTCATTAATATACAAGTTTTTGTATTTCTGGTCCTTCTCTTATTCTCGTACCTGCTCAGGTCTGGAAGTGTTTCTGTGGACTATGAAGTAAAAGCAGCATCAGCAACCTTCAAACAGATAGAAGATTCTAACAGATATGTACCACAACTTCTAGATACATCGTACAGACTAATCCCCAACTCCTTTACTACAGAAATAACAAGTAAGTTTAAAGCTTTCTTGATATTTCTCTTTGACATTTTCTTTGGAAGTGCTAAACTTATCCATGCAGCTGCCTTTTATACTATTGATAACTTGGTACTGATCCTTCAAAAATGGCGCGAGCTCACTTCAAGAACTGTGAAAACCCTTAGCGTTATCAGGCTGCCAACATTTCCCTCTTCTTTAAACAAATCAATAAATCTCTTTCACTTTACATAAGAGTGGGTTCCTCCTGGTTCCCTTGGCACATTTCCATGCTGATGTTGGAGGATCTGCCACACTTCAGTAGCTTGACCAACTGCCCTGGAAAGCGCTGTACTCTCCATGCTCTGAGCACTGGACTGTCTGTCCTAAACTTAGAGAATTACCTCAACCTGGTTATTTCTCTTCCCAGTTTTTCTACTTACAAAGTAGTGCTGGTGATATTTCTGGGATCTATGGCTGACAAAGACAGTAGAAGAATCTGTCATGGAAAAATGACATATCTCACACCAGAGATGGTCTATGTAAATGATGATGAGTATATATATAAGCTGTGAAACACCTGTGATTCCCATGAGATGAAAGATGCCATAAAGACGTGAGCTGAATGACAATAATACTGAATGGTGCTTCTTCATCTTCCCAGATCAGACAAACTTCACCGTGAATCCCGTGGATATTTTTGAAGGGGATACAATAACATTGATTTGTAAGACAAATATAGCTACCGAGAATGTGACCTGGTATCATTCTGGTCAGAACATCTCAGACAGCAACCGGCATTCACTGACGATACAAGTTACGCAAAGTACCTCAGAGTCAATTCTTAAAATAACTGAAGTTACTGCGATGGACTCTGGTATGATTTTTTCTCTTGTCGAAATAGCATATGAAATCTCTAGTGTGAGTAGTTTTGTGTATATATGTTAAAAAAAATGCAGTGACTACACTTCCCTAGACATATAGTGTTTCTTACGATTTTTGTATTTGTATTCTGTATATGTTCCTGAATTTGGACGATGAATTTTACATCTGACTTCAAAAAGCCTGTGTGCTACAATGCAGGATAGTCTGTGCCATTTGGGAGGTGGGAGTTTTGTGTTCAGACCTCCTCTGATGAAGGACGGTCTGAATCTTGGTTTCCCCGCTATTGTGAAGAGTGGTCTACTCGTGACACCAAAAAATTGTGTGCCTAAAGTAAGGAGGAAGGGCTCTGAATGCCTGTTTCAAAGGCACCCATTCTGCACTCAGGGGATAGATGCATAAAAAAGCACCAGCCTTGTTCTCTTTAACAGTACCCCCGAGGACAGTAGGCAGCTACACGCTGATTGCCAGCTCTTGTGGATTCTATCTTATGCACCTCTCTCTCACTCATTCCCTATACCTTTTGCACAGTCCTACTATTTTATTAGCATGACATGTTGCTACCACCTGGATTCAGACCCCAAATACCACATCAGCTAGATTTTAAGCAGATCTGAGAGAAAACAATGACTAGCAATAGTAGTCACTGCAGTCAGTACAGTCACATTGTGTTGCAATGTGGTGGGAGATGTGAAACTGGAAGAGGAAATGGCTTCCAGTTCCTAACTCTACATTTAGACAGAACGATGGTAAAACATTTTCTCAGATACTGCCTATGCTTTACAGGTTCCTATATGTGTGTTTTCACAATGAGTGGTCCATTCTACAACCTGAGATATAAGGCCACAAAAGTAATAGATGTCTCTTCACTACACATCATTTCACACTTAAATGACATTGATGTTACCTGTAACAGTCCTGAGATGGAGACAAACAGTCCTTTGCTGTTCTGCTGTATTGACAGACAAGTACCATCACTAACTGGTGACTGGAAAGTAAATGGACCTATCAATATTACAGGTAAGATTAACAAAAGATTGCCTTTAGCCTACCTGGTTTGTTTGTTCTTCTCCTTTTATTGGGCAGCAGCTCCCCAAAAAAGACCAGGGTATAGGATGAATATTGGGTATGCACTCCAAAGGGGAAGACTGTGTTTCACTCGTGCTGTCTTGATCTCAGTCTGATTTGGGGCATATTGGTGCAAATGCCGCTGCTTAAAATTGTGCCATCTTGGTTGGAAGTCTCTAACTGGACCAGGGCCATACTGAGCTTTTCAAAAAAGCTTATTTTTGCACTCTCTAGTCTTGAGAGCAAAGGTCAGCCTCTAGGAATAGCTCCAGAATCACCTGTGGTTTGCGAAGGCCTCTGGGTACCACGTACAAGATCTGACAACCAAAGGGGCAGGTGATACAACATATCTCCGACATAACAAAAAAGGGTCTCCAGAGTTTCCCTCTCCATGGGTAGTTGCAATCTATTACATGATTATTCAGTCAGGTTTCCCGTAAGGCCTCTTTTATAACTCATAAAGAGTTAATACAGTTCCAAGAACAATGCACTAGAGAGGATTACAAGATAGGAAGAATAGAAACCATCATAAATGCCTATAAAGCATGGTCATAAAACATCTACTGCCCTACTGGACTCCTAAACATTTTATGGCTATAGATTAACTGTTTATTATTAACTGGTATAAATGAAACTTCAGCAGAAAGTAGGATAGCAAAATGAGAGAAAATCTTCAAAGTTTATGCATGCAGTCATTTCTGCAGAGCACAGATAAGGGTTGTGCAGGAATTTTTGCTGAAAGAAAGGATTAAATCGTATAATCAGCTGTTTGGTTCTAGATTCATTGTGGCCAGGTTTTCATCCACAAATCTTGCTCTTATACCAGATACACACTCAGTTTTAGCATGGGATAACTTTAGCAGTTCTGTCCCCTTATAGCTAAACCTGCACTCTTCAGATTTAAAGTTGAATGCCTGTGAAGATACTCACAATGTTTATTTCAAAGTAAGATGACCTTAAAATCTGCTGTATTTCCTCATATTTTACTTATCTTGCTTATCCTAAATATGATAGGCAATAAGATTAGGCCTGAACCACAACATTCTCCATTTTGACATCCTGAGACATCCAAGCAATTCTGTTGTTTTCAATGAGATTGGTTTTGGCAGTAGGTGCTCCGTGCTGGGATGACTTGGGTTTCTGGCCTTTGGAGACCACTGTAAGTGTTGCCAGAGTAAAGGGGATGGATTTTAGCACGGATGTACGTGGATATCAGCACTGATGAGCTAAAAGTACCACGCTACCAAAGATTACATAGAAACCCAGAGGGTTTTTCTTAGCTACTGTGATTGCTTGTGATTTTCAGAGCCTGGGTATTTTGGGACATCCACAGCCCCTCAAGGATTGTTTATTTCACTGTAGGTGTCTCCAGTTTCACTGGAAACTGCACTGAATACAAGCTCCAAGTCAACGCGTTGCTGTGTCCACCTGAGAAGTCGGGTACGGTGACAACGTACACGTGTGAGCTGCAAACTGGACACGGTGCAAGCACCAGTCAAAATATCAGTGTGACATATTTCCGAGCAGGTAAGCATCATGCAACACCAACCGTAAGCTCTGTGATGCCCAGGTGGCATCTGTGGCACATGCCATTAGCAAATGACTGCCTATAATGAGTGACTGTCAATAACATGTCATTTATTTTCTGTCATCTCAGCAAATGTAACCATAACTCCAAGCATAAAAACATTTGTTTCTGCGGGAAAATCATTTAATCTGACATGCACAAGTGACGTGAGCAATTATGACAGTGTCATCTGGGAAATCCAGCGCGGAAATTATGTGACAACCATAGACTTTGCTGCGTATATCAGCAGCAGTAAAATCCCAGCCAAATCTGTGCTCAGTGTGAATACTGCCACTGAGGACTGGAACGGTGAGTAAATACAGTTTGTGTAGACTACAAAGGCAATGAATTCCCCATACCAGACCATTTACAGTATCCTTAGTCCAGCAAATTACTGTGATGCCTAGCCACAGGAAATAAAAGAATTAAAATCAAAACTGCTGGAGGACAGCAAGGCATGATGCTGCCCACAACACTGTCCTTGTTCAGAACTGGGACTCATGACCAGACAAAAGCTGAGACACTCCTCTGTTGTCTGAGACCGTTCTTGTGTCCTTGCTTCCAGGCACCTACATCTGCACGTTCTCCCAGAAGAACATGAACAGTTCTGCCAACACGACAGTCGTAGTTGTTCCCTTGCCTCTGAAGCAGAACATCCTGCTAGACCCCATCACGGCGTTTGTACACAGCTCTGTGTCACAGCGCCTAAACTGCTGCATAAATGCTAAAGCTAGTGAAAGTTATTATGTCACATTTGTGGTTCAACAAGATGAATTTCAAGCGGGTAAGTGACTATAAACTTGTTGCATTAACAGTTACATTGAGTGTCACAACTCTGGTCTATAGGTCACTTTTTATGATCGCCACAATTACTGAGTTAATAACCATTTTTCACATGATTGGGGTTTACACATTATTTTCCTTTTCACCCTTACTCATGTCCAGTTCCTTCCTGTTTTACTACTGTCTGTTAGCCCATTCTCCTTACTACCAATCATCAGAAAGCATCAGATTTTTACTCTGACCTATGCAGAATCAGTCAAAATATGATTTTTAAATTTAAAACGGAATGTTTTACAGATATTTTTAGAATCCTTCTTTATTCTCACCCGTGACTTTTACTCACCTTGGCATTACTTATGTATTTCTGAATAATTTATTTTAGTGTCTCAAGGTTTGTTTGTTTGCTTTCTGTGGAGTCCTTGTAGCCATTTCATACTTACTGCTATTATGATCACCTGCACGGACTCTCAAGCATATTAAAACAGAAGAAAATACTATTTCCTTAAGGGTGGCTGCAGGGCCTGGGGAGAATGGTTAACATTAACTAGAGGAATATTAAAGTCAACTGCAGTAGCGATAAATATAGATATGAGTAAATTTGATGTCCTTAACCAGGCAGTGAGAATAAGCATCCTCAGCACTGTTCAGATTAGAAATTGGTAAATTCTGTATATTTACTTTTCTCTTCCATTCTCATATTTTCTAAATTCATTATGGAGAAAATGTTACCTATGAAGAAGATCAGTTCATGAAACAAATGTAGAATAATGTACTAGAAAGCAATTCAGAGAACTATCCTATATTCATCAAGGATATGGGTAACATATAATTAACAGTGCAAAAGCCTAGGAGTCTATGTTTTAAATTTGGAGCTGTTCTGCCGCTTCTTTGACATGTCTAATATGCTGGAAGGTGTCAAGTGTCTTACAAGATAACTAGGCTAGAAAAGAGCATAGAAGAGACACCTAAACTATCTGAACCTCCCCCCACACACACACATAACAAACAAACGCACATGTAGCAGTACAAAAGCAACAAGGATGAACTATAAGGCAAGTTGAGACTTGATTTCTGGGTTTCTAAGAAAAAATGCCTGGATCCCTTTGGAAGAAGTTGTAATCAGAGATCCTCAGACACACTGTAAAGCAATGGGAGTGCAGGGCAGATCTGGAGTTTGAAAGAATCATGTATTAACAGAAGAAAAAATATATATATATCTTAGCGTAAATTGAATGTCTGTGATAGAAGCAGAAGCAGCAAGACCATTCACCAGAGGTGTTTCTATGGCAAATTTTAGTTCCTGCATAATAAGATGGTTTGGGCAGGATTTGCTCATACACCAACAATGGAAAAGGAAGCTGATCAAGCAGTGGCTGCCACAAGATTTACTTTCTAAATGAATTTTAAAACTTTTTAGTAATTTTAGTAAATCAGCAACAGACAGATCACCATTTACAGACTCTCCATAAAGAGAATCTCCTTTCATCTAGGACACAAAGAAAAAAGTTTTACAGAAGCTCTTTGCTCTCT